GTGGGATGGGAAGGGGGGGGGGGTGGTGACATCCACAGCCAGGGGGTGGCGCCGTGTATGTCACTGACTCCTTCCCCTCCCGCTGTGGCACTCAGGTGAGTGCTGCGCCCCTCAGCTGGACCGCCAGGGGAGCCAGCAGCGCAAGGGGCTGTTTGCGCTCCCCTGGGGTGGAAGGGGAAGGGAGAGCAGTGATGTACACGGCCCCACTCCCAGCCATGTACGTCACCACCCTGCCCCCCTCCCTCGCAGCAACCTGGCTGAGCGGGCAGCACTCAGCCAAGCACCATGGCCGGGGGGAAGGAAAAAGGGGGCGGGGAGAGACGGAGGGGAGAGAGAGGCAGGAGGAGGAGGAGGAGAAGAGAAAGGGAGAGTGAGAGGCAGGAGGGGGAGAAGAGAAAGAGATGGAGAGAGAGGCAGGAGGCGGAGGAGAGCTGAGAAGGAGGGGGGGAGGCAGTAGTAGAGAGAGAGACAGAGCGAGAGAGCTCAGGAGAGAAGACCTGTCTTATGACGAGCTAATTGGCTAGTAAGTATATAAAGATGAAGAAACTGAGAGACAAAGATGTCAAGTCATTTTTATAAGACCATGCAACAGCATGGTACCAGGACAAAGAACAGAATGCCAATTGCCTTCCTCCTTGTCCTGTGCTTTAACCAGATGGTCTTTCATTATTTCACATCTCCAGTTGAGAAATGAGGTCTAGAATTTCATACTCATTTGTAAAGATTCCACATGCCTCCACTTAGTTACATCATGTGTTTCTAGCTACAGAGCTAGTGTGTCCAGATTCTTAGCTACCTTTGGATTATAAAATCATAGTATTTAAAATGACGAGATTAATTTGGTGATACAAAATTTTGTGTGTGTGTCCTCCCTTATGTGATGAGTTCAATCACAGAAATCCCATTGAGACTGTCATTTGATGTGCTGAAAATACCACTGAGCCTGCCTACCTGCCCTCTGAGGCATCCCCCCCACCCTGTCCTGCTGAGCGAGAACCCCTGATCTGGTCTCCCTCAGCAATGGCACAGAGTTGGGGTCACTGACCACAGCAGAGCAACACAGACACTGAGATCCATTTGGCTCCGGGAAGGCTAAGTCAAAGAGACTTGACATAGCATTGAGGTACACAATCCCAATGGGACCAAACCCCCAGATAAATCCATCCCAGTATACATAAAGTCTATACAGAGTGAGCTCATAAGTTGTTTTCCTCCTTTATCAGTGAAAGAGAAGATACACAGTTGTTGTCGCATCCCCCTCCCTTCCCGGTAACAGTTATTTACACTGGATTTATTAATAAACAAAATTGGTTTTATTAATTATAAAAAGTAGGATTTAAGAGGTTGCAAGTAATAGCAAACAGATCAGAGTAAGTTTCTTAGCAATATAAAACAAAACACCCCACCTAAACCTAATGTAGTAAGAGAAGTTTGAAAATCATAATTTTTCACCCTAGTTCCTATTTCAGGTGAAATCCTTCTTAGACCAGAGGTTTCCTTTCTGACCTAGGTCCAGGAGTTCTCCACCCTTGTTACAGTCCTTTTATTACCAGGCATATTCATATATCTTCTCCACGTGGGGAGAGAGGCTATAAAAGCCAGCTGACGACCATCATTATTTACTTTGCTGTTCTTATATAGAATTTCCCTATGGAGGGAAGTCTTTGTTCAGTTCCCTGCACTGCTGTGGAAAAATATAAACTCGAGTGATTCCAGCACAGAATGCACTTGTAAGGCCACATACACTTGTAAGGCCAACTAGTCCAGGTTTATAGGAAAAGCAAGACTATTCACAGATCATTGTCCCAAATACCAGGCCATTAAGTTCCTTAAATCCTCTATTATTGGAAATTTGGATGACAGAAGAGGGATCGCTTGATGATTACCTGTTCTGTTCACATCCTCTGGGGCATCTGGCATTGGCCACTGTTGGAAGACAGGATACTGGATTAGATGGACCTTCAGTCTGATCCACTATGGCCATTCTTATGTAACAGCCCTTCTTTAATATATCTAGATTAGTAAACAGGTTTATATTTCAAACTTTAAATACAAGAATGATGCATCAACACAAATAGAATATACAGATTCATCAGATTATATAATCATCAGATTATAACTTTTAAAATGATATGTTTTCTAAAGTATTTTGCCGAAAGCATATTCAAGTTGTGTTATATTCTATAGACATATTTCTATAAAGAATATGGGTGCAATGTCACACTTTATAAAAATGAGGAGTCCTATGGCACTTTAAAGACTAACAGATTTATTTGGGCATAAGCTTTCATGGGTAAAAACTACTTCGTAGGATGCATGGACCATGCATCTAATGAAGTGGTTGTTATCCAAAATAGCTTATGCACAAAAAAAATCTGTTAGTCTTTAAGGTGCAACAGGACTCCTTGTTTTTGTACATACGGACTAACATGGCAACCCCTCTGAGACTTGACACCTTATGAAGTAATTCCCTATGGTTTACATTTCATTTTCCATAGTAAAATGCCACTTTCTTTGAGTCCTTGCTCATGTCCATTCATTGCAGGGGAGCATGGTCACCATGTGCACTAGCACCATAAGACTTTTCCTCAGCAGTACCCGTAGGAGCCGGCTTCAGTACCCCTTAGAATAGGCTCACATACGCCACACTAAATAAGGTGCTGTTGGTCTCCTCCTCCATCAGTTTCTTCTTGCTGCCAATGATGGTGCTGGGAACGTCAGTGATACAGCTCTTGCCGTCACTTCTCATAACTCTTGTTCTTAATAACTTGTTGTCAGAGTTGTTCCCCGCTCTAGCACTCCAAGTGCAGAAGGTGGGGGATCGCAAAAGACCTTAAATACTTTGCCTCTATAGGCTTATTAAAAACAAAAAACCTCCCCAGAGCCACAGATGCACTGACTCTGGAAGATAGGCTGCCACCATCAAGTGATTTTTAAGAATCCTGAAAAACTAAGAAGGAACATTTGAATTCCTTCCACAGAGGTACCCCAAGCTCTTCTGCCACAAGAGAGCTTGGAAAAAGAAACAAAAAACACAAAAAACAAACGGTGTCTCTGAGAGCTGACCTCTCAGGTTAGGCAGGCACATGAACAGACCTCCTGTTACCATGCAGGACACAGGAATCAAATTATCACCTTAAAAAAGGTGATTTTATTAACAAAACAAAACTTGATAAAGCATACTTGGTTGCTGGGTGTTAGAGAGCAACTGAGAAAAGAACAGATCAAAACACAAAGAAAAATCTCTTTGGGCTGTAACTTAAATATGGTGAGTGGGAGAGGGAAGGTACCTGGAATTCACACAGAGAAATTTAACCAAACACAACACAAAGAAAAATACCCTGATCACAACTAAATGTACATTTTTCACTTATCTATGCACAATCCCTTCATGGTCCAGTCCACTTCCATGCCCCAAATTCCTTGGAGGTATGGTGTTCCTGATTATTGCATATTGCTCCCTCTAACCCTTAACTTAAACTAGGTATCTATATACAATTCAAATTTCAACCATCTTTCCCATTGGCTTTCCTGACTTTCTGCCAATACCCCCCACAAGCTACCTGAGTTTAACCCTTTAGTCACTGCGTGCTGGCCAGCACTCCTCCTATTCATCAAACTTGTAAATAGTTCTCCTCTAGTTAGTTGTAGTTTAGAGCAGTTAGAGATACCTTAGGGACATTGGTTTTGGAATGGGACATGTCCCATTTCCTCTCCTCCCCCCCGTGCTAGCTGCCACAGTCCTGTGCCTGTTAGTGACCCTCATGACGACTGTTTACGGTACTTGAGAGAAGCACACATTAGCAATAAGTCCCAGATCTGCCAATACTTTAGTCCACGAACAAAAAAGAGCGACATTTATTTAGAGGCTCTCTTGATGGAGTTGACTCTTGCTTTGGCACATTACCAGTGTTCTGATTCAGCACCAAGCACGACTGCTTCAGTGCACAGCCTGAACAGTGTACAGCGACGTGCCCCATTTTTGACCCTGACTAATAAGCCAAAGAGAATCCAGAGGGGTAAATCTCTGGGTCTATAGAAGGAGACGGCCAAACAATTAATTACTGCAGACCTGGAGGTGCCATTGACTTCTAAGGCCGTGTCAGAGCATGATCATCCATGAGTCAGTCCAAAGCAAATTCAAGCACTGTTGGAGGAAGCCAAGTAAACAACCACAGCCTCTGCCCCCACGCAGGCTCCACTTGCTCAAAGACTTCAGCGAGTTGGTCCTTGTGGGGTGTTCATGAGGATGGTGTAACTCTTATCATTCTAAATCTACCTCTGCTTTTGTTCTCCCACTGTTTGCACCCTTTCCTCCTTGAATGGCACTTAATAACTTTAGACTTTAGTTAGTGCCAGTACAGAAAATCTAGTTTATTGGAGCATTGCTCTCCCCGGACAGATTTCGCTTCCTGCTTGGTCTCATTGGCCAAGCCTCCACATCACCACTTGCCACAACAAGGGTATGCCTTCGTTTCCTTGAGCACATGGCTGCTTGTACCTACGTCACATCCCATGCCAGGCTCAGGCTATGCCTTTTCCAACAGTGACTGGCATTGGTCTACTATCCCTCGAGGCATTCCCTGAACTGGGTCGTGACCATTCTCCCCTTATTCACCTGGTGAACGAGCAGAGCAAACATTAGGAATTGTGTCCGATTTCAGACCACACCACTCTCAGTGGAACAGGTGTCCAATGCCTTGGACCTCATTTGGGGTAGTCATCTTGGTGACCTGCATACTCAGAGTGCTTGGTTCCAGGACAAAATGGCACTCCACATACATGTCAAGGAGCTCAGGGTGGTGCACAGTGAATGTGAGGCAGAGGCAGTAAAGTCTTCACAGACACCACCACCATGATGCATTACACCAGCAGCCAGGGTGGAGGATGCTCATCAGCACTCTGCCAGGTCCATCTCTGGGATTTCTTTGTTCTTCATGACATTTCTGTGGAGGTATCTCACCTGCTGGGAGTCAAGAATATCATGGTTGACTGAGCAGAGTTATTTTCTAACCACAAATTGGCTTTCTACCTGGAGATGGCTTCCATACTCTTCCAGAGTTGCAGCACTCCCTGAGTGGTCCTGTTCATCACCAGACAGAATAAGAAGTGCCACACTTTCTGTTCCAGGAGAGGCCTGAGTAAAAGGTATCTTTCAGATGCCTTCCTCCTCCCATGCTGCCATCAGGAAGGGGGGCTAGGGAAGGGTAAGTGGAAGGAGGTGAGGGAGGAATGGGGTACGAGCCCGCGATGGGGAGGACTGTGCTGGCTCTGTGGGCTTCTGGGGGGGGAAGCTCTCTTGCAGCCCCCCAATTGCCCCCTCTCCCAGATGGCAGCCTGCGGCAAGTGCAGCCGGGCTGATGTCCGAGTGCTGTGATGTGCCCAGTGTGGGCACTCAGGGCACTCCAAGCCAGGACTGCTTTGCAAGCGGGGAACCCCTGAGAACTGTCTGTCCGGGGTGGAGGTCGGGACCCTTTAAGCACAGCCCTCGGCTAGCCTGAGGCAGCATCTCCACGCTCTAAGTCCTCCTCTGATGCCCTGCTGGCACTGCTTCCGGCCATCCTTAACCCCAGTTCAGGGTCCACTTAATGTGGACATGCTAGTTCGAATTAGCAAAATGCTAATCCAAACTATTTTTTTAGTCTGGATCCGTTAGTTCGAATTAGCTTAGTTCGAATTAGCTTAGTTCGAATTAACGAATTCGAACTAAGTTAGTTCGAATTAGCGTTGTAGTGTAGACATACCCTAACTTATTTCAAAATAAAGCATCCACCCTACAGGGAAGCCTCAAAATTAGTCCAAGGCAGGTTCCCCTAATGTGATGCGCTATCTTGATTTAGAGCCCCAAGAGGCACTGGGAGGAATAACTTTAGAATGGCCCTGGTGAGGGTCTATTTTGACATAGCAGCAGTGGAGTGTCCACACACATCCTATTCCAAAAGAGCTTTTTCAGAAGAGGCCTTATTCCTCATGGAATGAGGTTTACCAACACTGTAAAAAGCCCTCCATTATTTTGAATTTCTTTTGAAATAATGCAATTGCTGTGTGGACGCTAGTATTGTTTTTCCAGAATAACGGCCATTATTGAGGGAAAACGGTGCAGTGTAGAGGCACCCTAAGTGCATATATTGAATTAGGCCGTAGTACTAATATTAATAGATGCTACTAAAGAATGTCTGCTATCCAAGTCCTCAGTTAAAACTTCCATTTCTTGTAACAGATTATATCCTGGCAACTGTCTTTGAAATATAACACAATTTTACACTAACTCCACTATACAAGTCACAAGCTTTTACCATGTAACTAATCCTTTTATTCAGTTTTCCCAGGGAATATTACTATATACCACTTAAGGCAAAAGGTACTGATATAAGTGGCCATGCTGTGCTTTAATAGCTTCTGCATTGAAAAGTTACCATGGTGACTATCTCTGCTACATTTAAGAGTGAGGTTTGTGTACAGCAGACCCACTGCAATTTTCTATCTATTTTCCTATTCATGTTACTGGCAAGTCCCAGTATTAATCTCTTTTTATACATTACTAGATCATGCACAGCTAATGAGGTACTTCAGAAGAAATGCACACACTGCCTAGAGGTGAATTTTGTTTACCCCAAAAAAACCACCCCTACCTAATAATAAATTAAAGTCTTTTAAAATCTGAAATCTATAAAATTGTTGTGAAATGCTCCCCAAATTAGCCCTTTTACACACAATTCCCATTATAAAAGCATAGGTCTGATAAATCGAATATTTAGAACAGTAGCTATCAGAATTGTCTGACTTTTCACTGTGAGTTATCTGAATTTTATCCTGTATTGGATGAATAATTTTGAGTCTGTGCCAAATATTAACCTTATTTGCTACAGATGGCAAGTTATGGTGTGACCAGTCAACCGATTTCATCTCACTGATTCTATGACACTTTAAAAATAGGAGAATAACTAAAATGATTTTATGCACAGATAACTTTGGTTTGCATGAAGGTATTGGAATCAGTGTGAAGACCAGATATTTCCCAAACACATATGACAAACTTATATGTGAATAGCTATCAAATGAAAGCAACCTGAAATCAGTGAATAATGTGGAAGTTGAATGACAGCTCATGAACAGCTTTGAGTACAATAATCCAGTAAGAATATATTCCTAAATGGAGGCTTTGCCAGGTGCTTTAACTTTTCCATGCAATTTTGTGGGTCATAACCAAATATAAATAACTAGCTGGAGTTACCTGGAATTGCTCAGGAAAGTTGATATAACTGAGGTGAGGAGCCTGAGGGTGGGTGAGGGAAGGGAGCTCTCTGCTTCCTTGTCCCTCTGCCAGCCTTAGTGAGCGACTGTCCCCACTGCTTCCCCCAAGAAGCCGCTTCTCCCCGCGCTGCCAAGCTCCGTGCAGCTCCGGGGAGAGGTGTCTGTCTCTCATCTCTTCCCTCCCACAGTATCTTAAAACCTTCTCCTGGATGAAAGGTTATCCCATGCAAAGTTTGGTTGCAGTAGCTCTTATAGTATCCAAGTTATTAATACACAAACTTACATTCTCCTTTATATATCATATATATAGTAGCCCATTGTCTGTGAGTCTGTAACGCTGACATACATGGCCACGCCCCATGGCTGTGTACGTCAGCGCCCCGCCCCCCTTCCCCTCCCTCCGTGGCAGTTCAGCCAAGCACTGCACCGCTCAGCTGGGCCCCGGTGGGGGAGCAAGCGGCGGCAAGTGGCCCTTTGGGGTCCGCGCTCCCCAGACATGGGGCCCAGCTGAGTGGTGCAGCGCACCACAGAGGGAGGGGAAGGGAGGCCGCTCAGCTGGGCCTCGGATGGCAAGCGGCCGTTTGCCACTTGCCCCCGCGCCGGGGCCCAGCTGAGCAGCGCAGCGCTGGGTCAAACCGCTATGGAGGGAGGGGAAGGGAGGTGGGGCGCTGACATACACAGCCAGGGGGCGTGGCCGTGCACATCAGTGTTACAGACTCACAGACAATGGGCTACTATATATATGATGTCATTTACAGTCACACACAAACCTATGAAAAATATTTCCATCCGTTACCAAAAATTACTGATAAGAAAGAAAAATGCTGCTTGTGACATGTAAGGTTGGCAGAACATAGCCTCTCTGGCAGCAGAGTTTTGATGCCAACTCTATGACCTCACTCTTACAAGTCATCTATTTTCAGTTTAAAATATTTGAGCCTTTGACTTGGGTGTTTCTGTGTTTTGATTTGCTGGCAGGGAAGTGTTGGCGAGCGAAGCCGTTCTGAATGTTCCAGAGCGAGTGGACTGGCGCCAGTGTACGGCCAACCGGGATGAGGCAGAGGCCACTGCTAGGGCCTTCAGGGAAGATTTCCAGATTTTTGATTTTTCTGAACTGCAGTAATTCTGTTCCCTCAGGGCTGATTCTATGGACCCTTTTTCCTGATGGTCAGCACAGCTGCCCTTGCCCAGGCTTGGGCGCACAAGTTGAATTCAGCCTATGCTGGGGCCAAGGGGCAAGGTGCTGGGCAGGATGGGGAGCATGCATCTTTTATCCCTGCAATAAACTTTATACTTTTCTGTGCCACTGATTTGGTGCTTTGCCAGAGACAGCCTGATGTCAGGTTTGTGGGGCCCATTGGGGCGTGAGGATGAGTCTGAACGCGGGCAGCTCCACCTGGAAACAGTAAGCATGGTGGAGTCAGAGTGCTTGGCTCCAGCACATGCCTGTTGTTTGCAGGGAGGGAGACGTGAGAACAAGGTCTGTGTTTCCCAGCCTGTCCTGCTATGACTCTTGTGGGGAGAGATGTGAACGAGCCCATCTGAGAGGTGCTGGGTTCCAGTCTGGTGGGTGTTGCTGCAGGTCTCAGAAACATCAAGCTAGTTTCGTGTGATTTGTTCTTGGTAAATTCATGTGGATTGTTAGTGATCACCCCTTTATCCTTTAAGTAATTTGCAAATTGAATATATTTCTCTGATAGTTTACCAAATATTGAGGTCAGGCTGACTGGTCTATAGTTCTCCAGTTCTGCCTTTTTCCCTCTTTTAAAGATGGGCACTAGATTAGCCCTTCTGCAGTCTTCTCTGACCTCTGCTGTCGTTTGCAAATATTGCCAATGGCTCCCAAATTTCTTTAGCTAATTCCTCCATTTTTGGAGTGTGTTCACACACATACTCAGTATCTGTTGCTTCTTAGGAGTTCCTGTATTTTAGCAACACAAGCCGTACTTGTGCTAAGGGCATAATCAATCAGTTAACTTGTAAACATCTTACTTTAATCATAGAATCCTAGAGCTGGAAGAGACCTCAGAAGGTCATCAAGTCCAGTCCCCTGCCCAAGGCAGGACCAATCCCAACTAAATCATGTTTAATACATGGCCTGTCTTTAGTTCACAGCCTCTGGTTCAGTCCTCGGGTCTTGCACCTGGCCTAGTGCTCTAGACTCTATCTCCTTCAACTGTAATGGTAAAGTAAGGGTACTACTCGGTCATGGAGATCACAGATTCCATGTCTTTCTGGAACCTCTGGGACTTCTGTATCAGCAGGTTGGAATAGCTGTTAAGCCTGGGGCCACCAGAACAGCAGCCCCAGCACTGAAGCAGTGTGGGGGGAGAAGTTCATAGAATCATAGAATTGGGAGAGACCTCTGGAGGTCCAAAGCAGGACCAACTCCAATTAAATCATCCCAGCCAGGACTTTATCAAGCTGGGATTTTAAAACCTTCCAGTGCTTCACCACCCTCCTAGTATAAAATAGTTTTTTCCCTAATATCCAACCTAAACCTCCCGCTCTGCAACTTAGAATCATAGAACACTAGAACTGGAAGGGACCTCGAGAGGTCATTGAGTTCAGTCCCCTACCCTCACAGCAGGACCAAATACCGTCCCTGATAGATGTCTGTGTAACCTGCTCTTAAATATCTCGAGAGATGAAGATTCCACAGCCTCTCCCTAGGCAACTTATTCCAGTGTTTAACCACCCTGACAGGAAGTTTTTCCTAATGTCCAACCTAAACCTCCCTTACTGCAGTTTATCCCCTTAGTCTTGCTTCCTTTGGGACCTTACCGACCAGTTCTCTGAACTTACCAAAATCTGCCTTCCTGAAATCCATTATCTCTATTTTGCTGTTCTCCCTTCTACCATTCCTTAGAATCATGAACTCTATGATTTCATGATCACTTTCACCCAAGCTGCCAAATTCTGAACCAGTTCCTCCCTATTAGTTAACATCAAATCTAGAACAGCTTCCCCCAGTAGCTTTTTTAACCTTCTGAAATAAAAAGTCTTCAATGCAGTCCAAGAACTTATTGAATAGTCTGTGCACCGCTGTGTTAGTTTCCCAACATATGTCTGGATAATTGAAGTCCCCCATCACCACCAAATACTGCGCTTTGGATGATTTTGTTAGTTGTTTAAAAAAAAGCCTCATCCACCTCTTCTACCTGGGTAGGTGGCCTATAGTAGACCCCTCGCATGACATCACCGTTGTTTTTTACCCCTTTTAACCTAACCCAGAGACTCTCAACACATCTGTCTCCTACGTCCATCTCCACCTCAATCCAAGTATATACATTTTTAATATATAAAGAAACACCTTCTCCCTTTTTTGTGGTTAGATCAGTCCACCTAGGACTAGAGCAGATAACCAGTGGCCAGCCCCAGGGTTGTCAGAGCAGCGGTCCCCAGGACCCATCATAGCAGGTGTAGTGAGAGGAGAAGTCCCTGCGGAGGTGATTTGCTAGGACATTCCTGACTCACGAGATGCGACCTGCTTTCAGATGAATGTTGTAGCTGATATAGAAGTCGCAGAATCAGAGACCTCATAGCCTAGAACTGACAAGTACACTCACCCTTTGTCACTTCATGTAGAACATTGGGTTGTGTTGTCTCTGTGGACTCACAACCTTGTCTGACATGTGCATCAGGAAGACCTCCGCAGGCCAGCTAAACCACTCTAGGCTTCTTGATGTTGATATGTAGCGTTGCCTGTTCCGGGGTCCAAATCCCTATGATACAGAGAACACGGAGCTGCACACCACAGCCGAGGTCTGAGGTATCACATGAGTTTGAGAGGTGGGAGACATCAAACTGACAAATGGAATTCCATTGAGGGTGTTCTCTGGATTAAGTCTCCACTGAAGGTAGGTAAGCACCATCAGGGGAATAGTTACTATGTGCTCTGAAAACATACTGATGCTTGCCATTGCTGGATAGGTTGCACATGGAGTCTGGTATGGAACAAATACTTTTGCACTGCTCAAGTTGAGCACTGCTCAAATGAATTCTATTAGTTGAACTGATATCAACATGGATTTCTCATCATTGGCCAGAAGCCCTAAGCAGCAACATGTGACTAGGAGGACTTGGATGTCATGTTAGACCTGCCTTTGAGAAGCCAATCATCGAGGTACATGTAAATCTGAATATTTTGGCATAAGAGGTAGGCTGGGAATACCGCCATGTGCTTGGTAAACACTCTAAGTGCTGTAGCCAGGCTAAAAGGGAGGTCTACAAACTGGTCGTGAGCCAAATTCATCAAAAAACATAGCAAGTGCCTGTGCCCTGGGGAAGATTGCCACAACTTTCAGGTCAAGGGCGGCATGGAATACCAGTAAAACTTCAGTTTTTGTTAGTACTTGTTGAGATCTTGTAAGTCTAGGATGAGACATAGACTGCCTTTGGGATCAAAAAATAACAGGAATAAAAATCCTTGCTCTCGAATTGAGGTAGAACCTCCTCTGATGCTCCCAGAACCTCCTGCTCAAGGAGGTGCTGTTGAGAAGGGCCCTGAGAGGAATTGGGGGAGGTGGATATAAACTGGAAAGTGTAGCTGTGAGCTACAGTAACTGAGGACCCAGCAGTCGAGAGATATTTTTGACCACACAGTGCAAAAGATGGTAGTCATAAACCAGGAAAACTGGATCCAGGAAGAGGTCTGGTATGTTGTCCTCAGATATGTCCTCAAAATGACTTTATCCCCTTTCTTGGAGCAGGCTGAGCCTGACGAGGATGAGGGAGGGGGTGCTTGGCTTGAGCACCATTTGTAGCTCTTGGGCTTCTGTAGCAGATCCTTCTGGAGCCTGGTCCCTTGATCTTGAAAAGGTTGTGGTTTAAACTGCTTGCACTCCAGACATTGAGCATAAAGGCCCACAATTTTAAGGGTAGCTTGGTAGTCTTTTAGCCCATATAATTAGGTATCTGCCTGCTCCTCAAATAGTGCCTGGCTGTCAAAAGGGAGGTCCTGAATCGAGCGCTGAGCCTCAGTGGATAGCCCCAGAGAGGATCTGCATGCTAGAGCCAGGCCAAAGTGAGCAGCATGGGCACTGACAGAGACTGAGGTGGGTGATGTGCTCCTGAGATCCCAGGATCCCTGCTGCATTGAGGGCTTATTTAATTAGGTCCCCAGGTAAGAGAGCAATTAGCACTGCCCCTTCACCCTGTGCCCCACGAACAGATGGATGCTGTGACCGTTAAGCTTTCTGAGCAGAGAGACCTATCTCCTCTCTCTACTCTTATCAGGTCTGCCCTGGGTTGGGGTAGGGATGTTAAATTATGTTTAGTGCAACTGTGGGGCTAGACACAAACCAGGAATTAGCTGTCCCAGCTCGCACCAGGTCCCAGATGCTGTGCCTGGAATGTATTAAGAGCCGCCCAGGCTCGCACCCGGTTCCAGCTTGCACCAGATTTGCATCCGGTCCCCCCTCCCCCTCCCGCCGGCTGCGCCTCTGAATTTTAAATGTATTAAGAGCCTAGGAGTTCTTAATACATTTAAAAAGCAGATTTGCAGCGTCTGGGACTGGGTGTGAGCTAGGACAGCTGATTCCCAGCTTGCACCTGCTCTCCCTGCTAGCCTCTGTCTCCCGCCCCCTGCATGTAGTCGACTAGTCACATCCCTAGTTTGGGGCTGGTCTGGGCAGCAGCAGCATTCCAGGTTTTGGTTTGAGCAGTGTCTGTAGAGCAGAGAATGATCTGACCCAAATTTAGAGTCAACTCCCCAAACCTTTGAGTGGATAGGATACAGCCTTTCAGCCTTTCAGTAGTAATAACTGTCAGTAATTGTAGTATGATCTGAAGAAGTGGGTCTGCCCTATGAAAGCTCATTACCTAATAAACTACCTTGTTAGTCTTTAAAGTACTACTTAGTTTTTCCTTTTGTTTTACCAAGATCAGACTAAAACAGATAACTCTCTATTACTTTTCAGTAATTGTAACTGTCATCACTCGGGGTAGAAGAAAAATGATTCACCAAGGGCCCAAACCTGGATCTAGATTTCATAATTTCTCTTTTTATAATGGATCCAACCAGACCCTTTGATGCAAACAACCTCTCCCAGGGCTCTGTGAGTACGGGTGAAGGAGTTTGGAGTGCAGGTGGTATTCTCTTTGATCCTTCCTGTTGAAGGTAGGGGCCCAGGCAGAGACAGGTGCATCCTGGAGGTGAATGCCTGGCTGCAAAGATGGTGTCACCAGGAGGGCTTTAGTTTCCTCGACCACAGGATGCTATTCCAGGAAGGACTGCTAGGCAGAGATGGCGTTCACCTTTCAAGGAGGGGGAAGACCCTATTTGGACACAGACTGGCTAACC